TTTTTTATTGTTTTTCTCTGCGAATAGTGCTTGCTATAGCTTCTATTCTTTCTTCTCTACTGGAGTATGCCGTATGATATAGGAATCAGCTGTTGTTTGCGCGTCTTTTTTTTACGTAGCATAGTATTAGCAGTTTGCGCATCCCAATTAAATCAGTCTACAAATAGTGGGACAATAACTGATGCTTGGAATTTTAACCTCGTATGGTCTATTACTAATGCTATTTGAGCCACCGTCTTTTGTGCATATTACATATTGTTCTTGACTCTATTTGTGGTGGGCATATTGGACCTCTTTCATGTTATAGTGTTGCCTGTAGTCACCTGCTCTTTTTACATCTGTGCTCTCTTCACTCTAGACTCGTCGTTCTTGACTGTTGCTGCGAGTGTTGTATCTCTAGTTATGCAGCTCTATAGTAATATACTGTATATCATTTCACGTTTTATTGCATCATATATTTAAAATTTATGGCGGATGAAACTATTTTTATAAAACTTGACAATTCATATGAATATTAATCAAGTAAATCATAATATTCTTATAAGAATAAGGAAAATATAAATATAAAAATTAAAATCTTTATGTTATATTTAACAAATCTAATGATGATAATGTTTTTAAATAATGATAAATTATTAATTAAATATATAAATAACAGATAAACATATGGTTTAGATAAGTATATTTCAATAATATAATGGAATTTATGATTTGGTAAGATCCGCATCAACATTTTTGGTGAGAGTGGTGCGTTGATGAAATTTTTGAAATTTTATCATTGATGAATTTTTTTTTTAATATGATTATAAATTAGGTAAATCATAACATTTTCATACCAATAAGAAGCAAATATAAAAAATTGAAAGCTTCAGATTGAAGATGATCTTAGCAAAACAGATTAATTTTTCATATAAAAATTGGTCGATTTTCAAATAGAAGGACTAAAAAAATTTTTTCGGTAATATTGTCCGAACTTTATTTTCTAGAAAACTTGTTACAATTGATACCCGAGTTTAATAAATCAAATTAATATAGCAACATGCTTCACAGCCAGGTTTCATTAATAAAAGAAATTTATTCAAACTTAAAGATATGAAGTCTCAGATCATAAACAGCCAACAATCAATCTTATATTTTGAATTGTCAAAGAAATAACAAATCTATATAAAATTTCACAATAACAAAGAATAACTTCGTGAAATGAGAGAAATTTAATAAATCAAAACATAAAAGGGCATTAAATTATTACATATATATGAAAGACTAAATTTAAATATTATTCCAAATAATCACGTATTTGAAAATTAAATAAAATAAAGAAAAACAATTAAAAGTATAAAAAGGACCCGCTGCCGACAAGACGTTCAGCGGTGAGAGACGGCAAGATTCACTTACATCGTTTATGAAACTTAAAGCTTTGCTATCATTTTAAAAATGAGTCATTCAGCTTTAATTAATCATTTAATTCTAAATTTATGGAAATTAATTGTAAAGAAAGAAAATTTAACAATCAATAGGAAAATGCTTCAAAATGATATCGATTGCTATTGATTGAAATTTTGACTCTATTGTGTATCAATCGATCAAATGACAGGACTTCACTACTTTTTTTTTTTTTTTTTTTTTTTTTTTTTTTCAAAACGGTGTTAAATCAAGTTTTCAAGGTCATTGAAAAAATGATAGTTCAAGAAGTCAAAATTTTCACGGCTTAATAGAAAATGATAATTAAAATTTAATACCAAATTAAACAGTTTTTTAAGGATGTCAAATCAGTCTCTAATGAATCTAAGTGGTCATTTGCTTCCGTAAAAACAGTCTTTGGGCGTTCAGAAAAATAAATAGATAGAAAAAATTTTCTGGTCGAAGGAAAATTAAGTATTTTTTAAAGAAAATAATTTTTCATTTTCGAGAGAGTAAAATATTTTTCGGAAATTAAAAAAGCTTATAGATCCATAATTTTTTAATTTATTAATCATCGTAGTCACTACCACCAGTTACCATTTACCACCGACTACCACCACTAGCTATTATCACTGGGCACCACCATGGGCCACAGATGGTTTTCATAATTTATATATATATATATTTGAATTCTTCTCATATTTAACAATAAAAGGCACCACCATGGGCCACAGATGGTTTTCATAATTTATATATATATATATTTGAATTCTTCTCATATTTAACAATAAAAATTATCAATTATCAATTTGCTATTATTATTAATATTTTTATGATCTTACGTGATAAAAACTTTAATACTTTTAACTAATTCTCAATATTATAACTAAACAACAGAAAATAAGTCATTTGAGGAAAATATTTTTCATGAAAAATATTTTTCAACAAATTATTTTCCTGCAAGTTCTTTTACAGAAATAAACAGAACATAGAAATTAGTTGTCTGACATCAATATTATCAATTTTTGTAGGAAGTCTTTTATGTATTTATTTATTTATATTATTTTATTTTATAAGGTGTTAATAAAAAAGACTTGTCTATATCTATATATGAATTTACTTATACATCAAACTAATTATAAACTATATTTTGGTTTAAACGAAAAAAATTTGCAGGTATATATCGGAAAAAAAATAAAATTAATGGTTTGATATGTAGAATTACTATATACGGGATTTATGCAAGAAATTTTTTGATAATTTATTTATGCAAATAATCTTTTGTTCACTCATTTGTATTGTTATGTTAGGCGCATCTTTTATTCAGTTTCTTCATGAATCCAACTGCCAACAAGAAATTAATTAAAGTGTGACGCTACACTACGCATTATCATACATTCGTCCCACCAATTTTCTGCATAAATATACTATAATATCATCTAATATTATTATTATATATAAAAAAAGATCCAATACATAATCAATAATTGTAGAAAAAATAAAAAATTTTTGCTTACCGCTCCTCACTTTATCAAAGGCCACTGACATTGTGTCGGTGATATATATAAAAAAAGAAGTAATCACACAACACTTAATTACGTGTACTGTACTTGAATATTCTAGATCCCTCCTGATCCCATCTTCTTCCTTTGTCTATTTTCTAATCATCCTTGCATGCTCGTTATGCTTCTGCACGTTCAAAACCCTGCAAAGTTCAAAACTCTGCAAATAATTTCGCTTTAGACGTGTGAGGAAGTGCATTCCACGTTAGATGTTATAGATAAATCGATATTAATAAATTAATTGATCAAGTTTGTACAAAATAAATTTTGATACTGATTTATTTCTTGTTCCATTTGTCTGAACATTTTTCTCCTTTGCAACCTATTATGGAGAGATGTAAAATGTCTCGATTTTGAGTTCTTCTCCTCATAAAATTTATTATTTATTCGGTGAATGCTATTAAAAAAAACAGTATTTTTAGTACTAATTTTCATCATTAAATATGTATTGTTAGCATATCCAGTATCCATATCCAAGTATTTATTACACATTAGATAAGTAGGGTTGGCATTTATTTCAATATTTATTAATGCAAATGAGAAATTATCAGAGATTTAAATGATTATATTTTTATAATTTTCTAGAAAGATAAAAAAAAATATATTAAAGAAACTTAAAGATGTCAAAATAATGAATGTATATGTGCAACACAATGGAATATCAGTTGTTTATTCATCGAGCTTGCTGTTAATCTAATGGTAAGATTTCTCGCACTATAAATTGAACAGTAACTAACCACTCATACTTGTTTCTTATGTAGAAAAATTATCGTAACCTGTCTATCTAATTACACAAATTTTCCTCTCTCTCTCTCTCTCCCTCTCTCTCTCTCTCTATATATATATATACTTTGAATAGCTTTTTCCTCCCTAGAGAAGGGACCGTGCCAGGCGTCGTGATCCGGCCCACGGCCCGGCACAGCAGAAGGTGTCGATACTATATGGCACCGTTCAGAATTTCTTTTTCTTCTTTTCTCTTTCGTTTTCAAATTCAAAACTTGAAACATATAAGTTAGGGATAGAAATGGGGCAGGTACTCTGCAGAATTTACACTGCCCCACTTAAATCCGCTTTGGATGCTCAAATCCATATCTATACCATCTTTCAATACTCGTTATCGTTATATACCTATCTAACTGATATCTAATCAGCTTTGAAGCAGGTAGGGTACCCTTAAACATTCAATCTTTCTAGATGTATAATATCTCATCGAGTTCAATATATTATAAAATAAAAACTTATTGAAATTATAAAAAAATTAAAGTAAATTTTAAATTCATAAATATTATAAATAAATAAGTTCAAGTAGGTAAGATGTCCATGGAAGTCGACTCTGTTTCCATTCATAAACTCAATATACAATTAAAAATTTTTATTTTAAATATTTTATTATAGTAGGTAGCAACTTACTCAAATTAAATTGGTAGTAGATAATTAACTTAATATTCATATACATTTCAAATTTATTTAATTAATATTCAAATATGCTTTAAATGGATTTTTAATAAAGTATCCCGAAAATTCGCCCTGCTTCGTTATTGTCAAAATATAGTTTCTTTTTCACGAAAATATTCTTTCAAATTAGCCGTGGGGCGAGGTATTTCTGTAAATTTTCCCTTTTTAATTAAAATATCCTTCCCAACTTTTATGAACAACTAATTAATTTGGAGGGATATAATTTGCATTAATCCATTTGTATTTTTACAAAAGAATTCTTAATTCTTATAATTCTTTTATCTCAATTCCTTTAATTTTCTTAACTACGTGAATGATAATTTCCTTTCTGTGTGAACATAAGCTTTTATGTCAAATCTTTTCGTTTTAGAATATGTAAAATCAGATTAATTATGAGTTTTTTTATTTCTTTTTAGGCTCAATGACAAAAAAAGCCACGAATTTTGATATTTTTTAGCAAAATATCAAATATGATTAAATTCGCTTTTACAAAATAATATCAAATATTATTTATTTTCTATAAGATGAAAATGAATAACAGAAAATAATTAAATATTCGCTCATAAGGTCTATTTAAAGACCTGGTAACCAAACTAAGATTGCATACAGCTCAAATACAAGTTGCAGCGTCACAAATCCTAAAATAGAAAAAACAGCAATGGCTGACGATATGAAAGGCAAACTGGAGACTGAGGTGGAACTCAAATCCAGTCCTGAACAATTCTTCAAGTTCTGGAAGAGCGATGTCCACCAGGCTCCCAATCACACTCCTTCTAATATTCAAGGAGTTAGAGTCCATGAAGGTGATTGGGAGACTTCAGGTTCTATCAAGATTTGGGACTACACCATAGGTATCCATCTAAATATATAATTACTTTCTCATATTTATATTTAAGCATAAATAAATTTGGGAATTAAGTATTCTTTATAATGTGATCTACAGATGGGAAACCTGGAGTCTTTAAAGAGAGAGTAGACGTGGATGAAGAGAACAAGATAGTAAAGCTTACTGGACTTGAAGGCGATGTGTTCAAGCTTTATAAGGTTTATAATGGCATCTGGCATGTGAAACCAAAAGGGCAAGGCACCTTGGCAAAATTGACTCTTGAATATGAGAAACAAAATGAGAGTGTCCCTGCTCCAACTATTTACATGGATTTTATGATTAGCATGACTAAGGATATTGATGCTGCCCTTACCAAGCCTTAGTATGAAACTGGTTTCTCTGGTTTTCGTCTCAAGGTCTTATGAAGATCATCTGTGTGTGTTAAAAGTGGTCTCTGTGTCTTTTGTAATAAAAGCGTAGCCAAGAGCCTAATCAAGTGCTGTAAGCTTAATTTGGTTTTATGCAATGTGTGGTTGTTTGAAAGCTATCTGCTCGTAATTTTGTTGATCGTGGTGTTATGCAAGTACTCAGTAAATGAAATTGAAGCTCTAGTCTGATTTCCTTTTTTTTTTTTTTTCTTCAAAATAATATTTTCAGCTTTATTTGGAAAAAAATATTGGAGCAAAAAGATAATACAATTTTATTTCATATTAAATAATGAAATTTTCTCAATTTATTCATTTTTCTTTTTCTTCAATTTGAAGACATTCTAATTTTCTTGGCTCGGAATATTTTCTTCGCCCTTTCCAAATAAAAGGTTTCCTTAATATTTTCTTCACACTTTTTTCCTCCAAAAAGATCCTTCTTTTCTAACAAAGGTATATTGCCTTGATAAAAAAATTTTATGGGTAACAAAAGAACTTGATGTAGCTGGAGTACACCTTTTCAATGGTATTCCTTAGTTTAAAAATAAAACCAAGGAATATAAATTGAAAGAAAAGAAAACGAGAGAGAATTTGAGTGCGAAATTTATAATTTAAAAAAAAAATGAAGTGTTATCTAAAAAAGGAAACTTTAATTAAATATATACTATATTAAAATTTAGAAACTTATTTGTAATTATTCATGCATATGACAAATGGAGTTGTTAATTCTTTCAAAAAAAAAAAAAAAAAAAAAATATTCATTGCATATGCAAATGAGTTGTTTAAATTCTTTCAAAAAAAAAAAAAAAAAAACAATGGGTTTCAAAAAAAAAAAAAAAAAAAAACAATGGATTTGCTAATGAGCTGAATCAAATAATATCAAAGTGTTCAAAAATTAGTTTGATAACATGTAATTTAAGTTGGAGGAAAGTTGTATTTTTTCTTTCAACTATTTGGTATCCGAAACTACTAATCCCTCTAATTCGAATTCAACCCAACCAGATCTACGAAGGGAAAAATGACTGGCAACCGTAAATGACAGGGTCAGGCACCATAGCACATGCTCAATAAAACGACGCGCTCTAAAAAATAATAATTCAAGGGCCATCAGCAGAAATGTCTCGAGGGGTGGTTAAACGGGAAGGAAGTAGCAAAATATTTTCCATCCTTTCAAGTCCCATTTATGATTCACCTAACCATCCAATCAATTAACTTACTATTTGTGGTAAGCTGAGAGCTTGCTAAGAGAAAATTATGGCAAAGAAAAATGTTCTTGACGTTGATGTTAACATTATGGCAACACTGCACCCATTAAGTTACAATTAATGAGTTTCATTAATATCTAGAGAAATAATACCCAGTAAACTCAACTAATTTTTTTTATTCGCGAACATGATGAATGATCAGAAATAACACAATGAGTTACATAACAGAGAATAAACCTCTTCATGATCTAAATCGCTGAAACTCTCGTGGTCGACAGAACTCGAATTCAATATCTTTTCCTTTTTTCACACTAATAAAAAGACTAATTAGATCACACATAATTAACAGTAATGCAATTAATTTTAATCACTCTAATTAACTTAATTTAATCTTACATTTTTAGGACCCTTTGTTTCACGCATTATTTTAGAAGTGCCAATATCTCTAGCTAGCTTTACACATTCTGGTAGTTGATGTTGCTATTTCTAGATTTGCCTAATCACATTTAGATTTGGTGTTTCCGAGTAGATTTTGGGCAATTTCAACTTATTTACAGTAATGTTGTAACATTGGAAATGAATACCAAACAAGTGTAATAAAGCAATTTGGAGATGATGGTTATGGTCTTACCTAACATAAGAAATAAACAATAATTTTAAAAAAAATAAAAAATAAAATAGTTAAAATGTAAAAGAAAAAATGAAAAAATAGCTACTTGGTTAGTGGATTTTTGAGCACAGTGATTGATTCATATAACAATTGGACTTATAATGAGTTTGCTTAATTTTAATACAAAATGGCATAAGCTGTTGGTTCATTTTCCTTATTATACTATACGTTGTTTATAACTTTTATATTATTTTAAATGGAATTAGTCCATATACTTCCATACTCCTCTATTAAGTGTCAAATACCCTATTTAATAAGTATACGATAGCTCAACACCGATGCATCAGGATACGAATCATTCAGAAACTTCCCTTGTGCAATATAAAAGGAACTTAAATTCTGATACTAATATTAAATTTGGCCGTGAAAACTATTAATCAAATTCATTAAGAATTTCAAATAATAATTGGACTAATAATGAATTCCGCTTTTTTTTTTTTTTTTTTTTATTTTTTTTTTTTAATCTGTGGAAGATTAGAATTACAGAATGGACTTCCCCATAATCACAATCAATGCAATGATGACCACAATATCATTTTTTTAAGAAAATGTTTTTTTTTTTTTTTTTTTTAATCTGTGGAAGATAGAATTATCAGAATGGACTCCCATAATCACAATCATGCATGATGACCCACATATCATTTTTTAATAAAATGAAAAGATATCATGTTTTAATAGGAGGATTAGAATTAGATCATCAAAAGGATTTTTGAAAAAAAAAATTATTGAGTAGTTTATATTGAAATAGTATTAAAATAAGAAGAGGATAGTTACAAATGTTGAGCATGCATTTATTATTTGGGTGATTGTGAGAAAGTGAACGATGATTGCCATCCTAGACAATCTAGAGGCCTGCTATCTTTATTTTTATTAAAATTGTTAAAAATATATTTTTTATTTTATTAGTAAAATATAACATTCTGAAACACTTGCAAATTAATTCAGACTAACCAAATAGAACACAATAATAAAAACAAGAGATATATATTTTAACATGATACATAATAGCTATTTCCACCACCTAATAGGTTAGGTTTTGGATTAAATACACAACGAGACATTGATTAACCATGAAATTAATCCTAGAAAACTAAGCTTTTCCAGGTTTTTATTTGCAATTATTATAACTACTATAGAGATCATATTAAGTATATATGATAGTTAATCAGCGCTTGACAAGGTATGCATCAACATCCTTGACAAGAGAAATCAGAAAGTTCAGGTACTTAGTTGGAGGAGCATCTGAAGGTTTAAATTTTTCATATTCCAAATTGATTTTAACTAAGGCCCCACTATTCTTTGGGATTGCAGTAAATGTACCCTTATAACTCTTGTATTGTTCAAGAGGATCGCCTTCCACTCCTGTCAAAGTTACTGCATTGTTTGGCTCATCTATCTCTGTCTTCTCTTTGAATATCTCTTGCTTTCCATCTATGCATGTATACCATTAATTAATTTAATTCCACTAATAAAACCATTCGAAAAAAGAAGAAAATGAAGCTCAATTATATAATAAACATGCAAGTAACATTTTCTCATGACTATACTAATGTAAATCCTAGCGTTGGATTATCTGCATACTATGCATAAAGAGGTCGGAGGATTTAGTAACTGACTATTCTATAGCAGGAAGTAAGAAATTAAATAAGATGATAATTGTTTTGTAAAAGCGTTATTTAGGTACCTATGGTATACTTCCAGGTAAAGAGCTTGACAGAGCCAGCAGTTTCCCAGAAAATGTGTTGGACTTTATCAGGAGAGGCAATTGGAATTAGGTAACGCTGGATGGTAAAAACTTTGAAGAACTCGTTAGCTGAGGACTTGAGCTCTACATCGGCCTCCAAGTTTCCAGCTAGCTCCATGGCTTTATAAAATTCTAATCTTTAGCTTGATATATATATATATATTCTTGGTTTTGTTCAGGAGATAGGGCTTGTATAATTAATTTTGTTTATTATTAGTGCAGAACTTGTAAAAGAAAAAAAAAATACAAATCCAAAGTTTGCTTACCTAATTGGCATAAATGGAATGACCTTATTTTTTAATATGATACTCCATCTCAATTATGGAAAGATTATTTTTTTTAAGAAAACAATTATGAAAAGATTTACCAAATCGAAAATGTTTTGATTCATTGGTGTCAAGAAGCTCGAATAGTAGTTAAACGACTTTTGCATTTTTCTCTATCATAATTTCTTTAATCGTTTGTTTTTAATTTTATCAAAAGTTAGCACCAAATACAATTAAAGTAGATGTTGAATTTATCATCTACTTATATTGAATCATCTATTATTTTTCAAATGACTTATTTTTTATTATTTAGTTGACATATTGAAAATTAATTTTAAAAAAAATAAAATTATTAGTTTATAAAACTACAAATATATTTTGAATTATAAAAATTTCACATTCTAGAAACTGTTGTTAAATATTTTTATATTTTCATATTAGTAATTAATTTTAACACACTCAAAATGGAATTGTTTATAATCTTCTGCAATAATAAGGTTGTAAATTCAAATCTTAAACTCAAAAACTCATTAACAATAATAATTATAATAATATATTTTAATATTGATACTGCAGTGTATGTTTTAAACATAAAAGGATAAAAATGGAGCCATAATTTGAAGCACTTATTTATATAATAAGTAATTAGCACCAACATTATTATTCATCAAATTGATGCTCTGCTTTGTTTGTAAGAAGGTAAGCATCAATACTCTTGCTGAAGTTTACCAAAAACTCCAAATACTTGTGAGGAGGAGAGATTTCTTCATTTTGTTTCTCATATTCCACAGTCCATTTAACCAAGCTGCCCTTACCCATTGATGCGACTTCCATGCTTAGCTTGTAACTCTTGTAGTAGTTCATAATCTCTCCTTCCAACATGTTGAAGGTGATTCTCCTGCTTTTCTCGTCTATGGCTTCCATAGTCTCCTTAACTGTCTCAGAATTCCCTAATGGAAAATATCATCAAGCTAAATTTTTATATATTAAAAAAACAAGTATCAGGATATTTATAGAGAAATGAAAAAAAAAAAAAAAGTATTATTGAGTTTCTGACCTGCAACATAAGTCCACACCCTGAGTGAGCCCACAGTGTCCCAGTCACCTTGAAGAACTCGTATGTCCTTCACATAATTAGGGCAGATTTTTGGTATAAGATATGCTTTGCTCCTTAAAATCTCATAGAACTTATCAGCAGAAGATTTGATCTCTGTTTGGGCTTGAAGCTTCTTTAGTTGAGCCATATGAATGGATTTTTTGTTTTTGACAACTTAATGGTGCAATGAAAGGTCTAGAACTTGGCTTCCTTATATAGAAAAAAAGGAGAATTGGTGTGGCTAGATTCGCCAATAATATATAGAGCTTGTGGGGAAACGAATATAATGAAATTGACTACAAGTTCGATTGAAAGATTTAAAACGCTTTTAAGCTTGTTAAGAATATATACTTCTATAAGCTTGGAACTGTTATCTGAGGATCTATTCAGCAAAATTAATTGTTTTGGTATCTGTTAGCTGTTTTAGTAGCATTTTAGTTGTCAATTGTTTTGAGTAATTTTTCATAAAAACGTAAAAGTTAAACTTTGTATGATTTAAGTTTTATAAAGTGTTTTTTTAACCTTTAAAATTAAATTAGTTCTAACGTTATGTTATCAAATACTATAAAATATGGATAAGGGAGTTTTAAGGTTCCGTAACAAGACGGGCATCGATATCTTTGATGAGATCAACCGCAAATCGAAGTATAGAGTGTGGTTCTGGAATATCTTTATTCAGCTTCTCATATTCCAGTGTCCAGTACACTACACTCCCATTATCCTTTGGTATAGCTTTAACAGTGGCTTTGAAACTTTTATTTTTCTTCACTTTATCTCCTTCAATGATTTTGTAGGTGGTAGACAAGTTCACATCATCTATAACTTCAACCATCTCCTTAGCAACTTTAGGGACTCCACCTGCCTGAAATTTTTAGGTAAAAAAAAAAAACTAAGCTTCTTAATTATGATTATTATAAGGAATCACTCCACATGGTTATTATGCCAATAATAAATTGGGAACTGAAATCTGAAATCTCAATAATATATTTTTAAAAAAGAAAATTGAGATTAAAATAGTAAAAGCTTATCATGAACATAAGTCCAGTCAGCAGATAACACTGCTATCTTTTTTAAATTCACCATCATGCAATTCACAACTTTGTATGTAATGCGGAACAGCCAGTGGTGGAGACACATACAGCTGAGGGGTGTTGAAAATTTTTTCTAAGCAGTCAATAATATATTTACAAAGTGAACCATTTATATTGTTATATTTATAATTTGTGAACCCCTTCAAGTATACCATACATGTAGTGCTCTTCCTGACTCTAGGGTCCTAGCTTTGTCACTGGGAACAGCAATGGGTAAGTGATGTGGTATGGATCCAAACACATCATAGAACTTGCCGGCAGAAGCTCTGGTTTCCACATCAGTTTCGAGCTTAACCAGTGACAGCCATTTTTTCGACTGTGCAAATAAATAACTTATGAATGAGAGTTGAATGGTGAAGGAAATGCTATGGCCTTTACGTGCTTTTATAACGGGCAAGACTCGGGGTAACGAACTTAGGTTAAAAAACATAAATAAATAAAATAAGTTAATGAATTGTCCTTTCATTTTATAGGGTAAATTCGTAGTTTACAAAGCAATGAAGCAATGTATTATATTAATAGCATGTTTGGTGGCCTTTTGAGAATGAAATTTATGTTTTTGATGTGAAAATAATATTTTGGAATGTCATTAATTAACTAATTACCCAAAGGTAATCGATGACATTAGTAACTAGTTTGATTAGTACCGTTTCGTCGGGGTATGATTCTAAAATTTATATTTAGTGCTTGTGATGGAATTTTTGATTAGAAATTGACTATGGTGCATATTAATTAGGAGGTTAATTTCATGGAGAAAAATTTTGGAAAAAATCTTTTTTTATGATTTGTGAGGTTTAATTTTTGAAAGATGATCGTTCTATTAATGGAAGTAACTTAATTTTGGTGTACAAATAGTTTTTGAAAATCAAATTTTTTACACACCAAAACATAGTCTAATTAATGGTAAGTACATATTATTTAAATATTATTTTTTCTAAATCCTATATATGTAAATGGAACACATAATACATATTATTTAAAATGATTTAAATAATTATATTGACAATATATTTTGACTTTATAAACAAAATCTATTATATAGAATTTTTTTATAAAGTACCTCGTGTATATAATTAATAATTAAATTTTTATTTTTTTACAATTTTATATACACTACATAAACAATTATTGATATTGGGACTGCAATACAATTATTGATAAGTTGATAGTGAGATATCATAATTGGCCTGAAGTGAAGGAGATATATACGTTGGGATTTCTTTTCTAATATATATAAAATCAACTCACTCACAAACAGAGACTCCTATGTAAGAAAACCAAATTTATTAGCAGAATAAAGAAAAACCCACGTACAAAATATATAAAAAGATCAAAGGCTTAACAAAATCCCTGCACTCCTTTACTTCAACAATACATGGTTTATTATTATTATTATAAAAGGAGGGCTAATTAAGCTTAAAAAAGAAACTAAACGACGCAATTGCAGCTAGGCATAATAGCAGATACCTATATGGCCATTAATGGATAAACGAGTTTATGCTTTCCTAAGATAGGCGTCGATGTCTTTGGTCATACCAACCAAAAATTGAAGCAAAGGGTCTAGTTCTGGAATTTCTTCGTTAACCTTCTCATATTCCAATGTCCAGTGCACTACACTGCCATTTTCCTTTGGGATAGCTTTATTTTCTTCCTATTTAAGTGGTTGTTTAGAGTTTTGAGATTATATTAATAAATTTCTTTCTAATTTTACTAATATTTAACTTATTTTTATATTACATATATTTTTCTCTTTTTTATCTTTACGATAATTGTAGCTAAATCAAAATTTTGACTACAAACATAAATAATTTTTTTTTACTCTATCAAGGCATGAAAAATTGAAATGGAAATGTTACTCAAACAGTGAAGCTTTCGTATTAGATCAAATTAGTAATATTTTTGTAGTAAAATTAAATGGGGAATTTCAAATTTTAAGAAGTCAATTTAGACATTTTATTATGTATTTTTAAAAAATCAATATTTTCCAATATTTTTTTAATTCTTATGAAAAAATAAAATGTTGTTATTAATGTAGAACGGAGACTATACGATTTGAGTAAATAAATATCTAAGGATTAATACATTTAATTCCAACATATTTTTTATTAGAATATATTGAAACGCTCGACACTTAGGCTTCCTTAATATATCAAGCAGATTGTTGATGGATAAAGGAGTTTATGCTTTGGCAAGATGCGCATCATTATCTCTGGTGACATCAACCAAAGAATGAAGGAGTGAGTAGAGTGTGGGTCTGGAATATTTTATTCAGCTTCTTATGTTCCAGTGTCCAATGCACTACACTGCCATTACTTCTTGGTGTAACTTTACTACAGATTTTGAAACTGCCATAGCAGAAGCTTTGATCTCTGCTTGGACTTGAAGCTTTTCTATCTGCGCTATGTGAATGGATTTATTAACAATACAATGATAAGCTAATTAAGGGTGCAATGAAAAGTCTAGGCCTTGGCCCAGTTATATAGAAAGAAAAGGCTTAAATTTCACCTGTGAGATCTGAATTATACGCGTAATCACATTGTTGTAACTCAAATTTAATTTGTCACGTAAATATGCATCAACTTCAATTTAAATAACAGAAACTAACTTCCCAATGGTAACCAGTTAGCTGACATGGAGATCTCCAATTTTATTTCAACTTCTTTTAACGTCATATCAGCTCCCACCTTCTGTCTCCCTGCTATCTTATTCTTCTCTCTCCTCAAGATATCCAATTCAAGACAGTTGCTTCCCTGATTGACATAACTCAAATATACCTTCTCAGTCTTCTTTTAATTTTAAGCTCAGACAAATTGAGTTTATTAAGATTAAAGTTGACAAAAGTTAGAAAGATGACGAAGTTGTGAAGTTATGAAAAATAAATCTAAGATTTATTTCTTCATGGAATTTATTTGAGGCAGTGAGTTGTTTTCCAAAATTGCTAAAATGCCGGTTAGAGAAGATGTTGCCAGAAATTTACTTTTTGATGGTCTTTGCCATTAATTTGATTTTTTATCATAGTTGCGACGTTTGTCACTGTGATTTAATTTAACGTCTAAATATAATCTTCTAGTTTGTTATCGAAGCAAAAGGAAGATCGATTTCAAGCAAATAGTACCAATGGAGAAATTAGAGTTTCAGATCTATGAAAAAGAAGAAGAAGAATTTTTTTCCGAGTCATTTGTGAAGCTTTTGAATTCAGTTTTACAATATAAAAAGAAAATTAAAACTTAGCTTGAAACAAATGTTTCTTACAAGGAGTTAAATGTGATTAGTGGGTATCTTACTAGGGGTTAATTTGATATTTTATGGGACTCACTTATTATAGATAATGGTCACACTAGCACCAATTTGACAAAATCTAGAAGGAGGCTGTGATTGATGTAAAAAGAATGAGTGCATGATACGAGAAAAAGTCTTAAATTCGAGTTTTTTATATCTTAAAAGTTATTATTAATTTCACAAGTAAATAGAAAAATTAGCCATATCATATACTTTATTACGTTATTTTAGTTCATTGAACCTCTATCAATAAAAAAAAATTGAATTATATAAAATGAGCGGTCATTGGAAAATACATCAAAGGGCTATAATCGAATGACAGGTTGTTTTATAGACAAGGACAGTTAACAACTAACTACCTTCTATTTACTTTGAAATCATGATGACCCACATAACATAACCACCACTCTGGTTATTAAATTTATCGAATCTATAATCAATCTCTTAGTCTATCCCGATTTATCATTATCTTCACAGGCTTTTAAAATTTTAAATATTTTATTATGTTCGTGATTTTCCCCTGATTAATGGTATATTAACACTTGTATTGTTGGTAATTTGTATTTTTATATTAAAATGCTTTAAAACATTGCAAATATTAAATATAATTCTCATTAAAGATTAAAATGATTAAAAATGTATCAATTTCAATATTCTCCTTATTGACCAAAAACTCATTTTTTATTGATTTAATATATGGATACAGCTTGGACTAGTTAAATTATTCCCCTTATACCATATAATAAGAAAAGTACAAAGTCAAAGTTTAGTTATACAAGTATAATTCAAATCTAATTACAAAGTCCCTCCTTTA